ATCACTAATGCATAATGGCAAGTGATACAAGTGTTGAATTCAATTCTATTTTAGCACTTACACAAAAAGGGAACCTTTTTCCTATTATTAGATTTTGGGTTTGTTTGGGTTTTTTTTAACAGAAATACTTTTAACATAAATCATGGGGTCTCAGCACGGCTAGTATAGCAGCAGCACAATAAAACCTTCCTCCAGCAGTGGGAATGATTTCTAGACAGCATTTTCGATTCAGTAGTGCAGAGACTTGAGTCTTATTTTTCTTTTAATTATTTGTAGCACAACTGTCAAATAAAACATTAACTAGAAAGATTGGTCAAAAAGGGATATCCGAGTGCAGATGGTAAATTTTGATATTACTGTATAGAAAGGACAGCTCATATTAAAGGAAGCAAACAAAAAAGTTGAGGAAGTCTTATGAGATTAATGATTTATTTTTTTTAATGAATATGAAAGAGCAAAAGCTTATTTCTTGTTTTGATGGAATTGATTGAACCTTAGCTGCACAGTAACGAAGTAAAACTAAGAAGACAGTGCAACTGCATGAACAACTGTCAAACAAATAGCCTTGAAAAATGTTTGGTTTTGTAGAACAGAACCTATAAACATAGAATATAATTGAAAGAGAGATCTCTAACTCAGCGATGTTTATAGCATAAACTTGTGTTCTAAAAATATAAATCACCTCAGATAGTTGAATACCTACAGCTATACAACTGAAAAATATACTACATAATTAAATTATTCTCAAATCTAAACCACATAATTGACAACTTGAATTTTCAGGGAAAAGCATACGCTTGGTAAGATGTTTTTTGTATATTGCCAAAATGAGGTTATGCGGTCTGTGAGTGTTTCACTGCTCCTAGCTGTGAAGTACAGAAACTTTCTCTGACTAAATCTGTTGACTGCTCAGCATGTGAGACAGTTAGGAGACCCTGCGGCACAAATGAAAGCCCAGGTGTGCAGAGGTGACAGCTATAGAATGCTATTACAGACACACAGAGAGGAGCGAAAGACTTGAGCCCTCAGTTACCCTCCTTTCTGATACGCGGTAGATGGGCACAGTAAGTGTACCTGCCAGGGTTTTGCCCCTTCCAGGCAGAAAAGGCTCATGTGATAGTACTTCATTTCCCAGTTTCTCTTGGAGGCTTATACTTGCTTAAAAAGTTTTGTCAGTGTTTTCTTTTAAATCTGAGGTACAGGTTTCCTTGAAATTTTTTCATCATGTACTAAAGCAAATAATACTTCTTTTTTGTAGATATTCATACCTTTCTCTTGTTTTCTGTTTTTCTCGACTTTAATGCAATTACCTTTTTGATCTTCTGTTATAAATCAGGCTGTTAATATAATTTTTGTTCTTTACTCAGAACCACTCCCTTAAGTCTTTTGTTACCATTAGTGTTATTTAGTGGCTAGATACGTATACAATGCCTTTGTGCTGTGTAGAAAGAGGGCTATGAAATGTGTCCTACTAGCCATGTTATATGATTGACTTGAATGAATTTTGAATTCATGCTCCAAAATATTTTAGTAAGATGTACTTAATTTGAGTCCCGACACTGATTTGTGTTACTACTTGTCATGTTACTAGTTATTATTTTTAAACAGTTTTCCGAACATTTTATTTCAGGTACAGTAGTTTGCATTTCCTATTTCTTTTTGACCTGTGTTGTTAATGCTTCCAAAGCGTCACTCTTTTCGCCTTCTATTCTTCTTCATTCTTTATTCAGCCCAAAGCACAAATGGATGCGTGGTCATTTGGGCTGAGGAATCTGAGCTCGCACATTAATGGCATCACCTATCCCACTTCCTTGTGTCATTGGATGCAGAATTTGGCTTGGCCCATGTTACCTGAACGAGCCAAGCAGGCGCATAAGAAATGCATGTGTGTGTACCTTTTGTCCTGTCCTACAAGATCTGCAGTTGCTAGGCTTCAGCACATCTGGTGGGGTGGATTTTAGTGCTTACATTCTCATTTCATAGGATCATGTCTGGTGCTCGCAGATCCAGAAACCAGCAGGACACGTGACATGTTTGCTGCGTAGGAGCCAGCCTCTGGCAGGGTGGTCTGGAAGGGATCTTCTGTGGGTGACCTTGCATGTGTTTCGTCTCCCACAGGCAAATCCACTATGCATGGGTATCCACATTTACATTTTTCTGAAAATATTGCCCTAGTTAGTTAAGGTTAAAAGGTAGCAGTCATATTCATGTTTATACAGACTCTTGCATGGCACATTTTTAACTGCCTAGGCTTTCCTTTCTTTTTAACATTTATGTCTCTTACCAGCAGTACAAGCGTTTGTCCTATGTGCGATAGATAAGATTTTTTTCCAGGTCTGTCTTCTGAAGTATTTTGAACATTACAGAAATTCTTAAAAGGGAAGGATGCTGGTTGAAATAATTGGCAGGCGTTTAAACGGTGGTAGAAAAACCTGGGTACAAGAGTAATTTTTCATCTAAATCTCCTTTTCTCTGCTTAAGGAGATGTGCAAAAGCTGCATATACTGTATTTTCTAGGCAACTCTCACTCTACCAGTTTCTTCTGGATCCTAAATGTTCTGTAGTTTCTGATTCTGTTTCCCACATCATCATCAGATTTGCAGTTTTACTGTTACTTTCATCAGTAAACTTACCTTTAACTTGCCTTAAAAGAGAATCTCATCATGTTTCCTGTCTGTAAAGTGAATGTAAACATATAGAATGAAAAAAAACTTCTGGCATGATTCACCTTTGAATAAAGTTTAGTATTTATGGACTGTAAATATTTTTTGTATGGACTGTGTGGACTACTGCACTTTTAAATAAGTTTCCACCAAATGGAAAGAAAAAAAAAAGTACTCTTCACTGTACTTCTTTTTGGAACCTTTTTTTAAATAAAGAAAATATTTCTAAAATACTTTATAATGTGTTTATTAGAAAGAATCAAAGCGTAGTTTTAAAACAATCCATTTTATGTGTTTCAGGTAAACTGATACAAGTAATATTTGGACACTGGGATGTTGTAACCTGTCTTGCTCGTTCTGAGTCCTATATTGGAGGAAATTGTTACATTCTCTCAGGATCGCGTGATGCAACATTGCTACTTTGGTACTGGAATGGCAAAACCAATATCATTGGTGATAACCCAAGAGGTAAGCAAACCCAGAAAAACCTATTTTATAAGGACATTGTCTAGAAATGGCTTGAGAGAACACTTAGATGACAAAATTTTAGGTAACATTAATGTCAAAGCGGAGTGTTTCTTTTTTTGTAGTTGTGATCAGTTCTAGTGTAAAAAATTGAGGGTAATCAGTGCTTGCTTTGCAGCACAAGTAGAACTAATTTTTAAAGTTACAGGATACTGAACATTACATTTTTTTCTTGTCACTCATTCAATTGGGAAGGAGTGGCTCTGAGAGTGAGTGAAGGGAACTCGTTTTGTATGTTTCCTGTCAATTTGAGTAAATCTTTTTCTCTCAACATGATGGTTTCGTTAAATACCTACGTTTGAGTTGCTTAAAACAAAGAAGACTTTACGTTGCTGCAGTGCAGACTGTATTCTCTGCAACTGTAATCTTACACATATAGGTTCTCACAGCGGTACCTTAGCTATTAATAGTTATGCCGACAGTGAATTTTAACTTAGACTAAGGTCACTGTAATGAGCTGTGTAATGGCCTGAGCAGGACACTTAGGTGAAAGAAGGACAGACACGTGGGACAGATTAAAGAAGCAAGCTTAAAACTTTTTTAGTTTAGCACTTTGGTAGGGTGCTACGTGCCTAATCCTTGCTGTCACGTGCCAGGCATTTTAATTGGTTCCAGTGCAAGCAACAGGGCTCATACCATATAACCAAACTAATAACTCAGAGTTACCCTGCTTCAGCCTAATTCAGTTTTAACCCCTCCCCACCCAGACTCACCTTGCACTTGCCAAACAATTTAATCTCTGCCATCTTGTACCGCTTCCCAGGAAATCCCAAATCCCTTTGCTTAGGAAGATTCTCTCTTTTAACTCATCATTTTCAATGGAAAACAATGAAATGCTATGACTGTTCAACCCTGCTGTGCCTGTATTAGATAACAGGAAAGGCTGAAATTGATCTTGTTATTATACCAGTTTCACTCCACACAAAAAATGAATTCCTGATCCCCAAAGCAAAGAAAAAGGCAGACATGCAGCTTGAGAAAAAGCCTGAGTGAGCCGCTTCACAGGAGTAGAGAGACTTTCAAGACAGCTCATGAGAGCTTACATACATGAATAGAGGGGCACATCATAGTCAAACAGAGGTCCTGTTCAGCCAAAAAGAAAATGCCCTGAAGAGAAGGGGTGGGAAGAAGTGTATTCTGTCTGTCTTAAGCAGAGTGTTTGTTAGGTTTTCTGCCATACACTTAAGGTCTTCTCTGACCCTGTTTAAATACTAGTAAAAACATACCTGCTGTCTGTAGAGGGCAAAATGAGCATCTGGAAAACCAGAACTGTTGTTTCATCTGACATACATTGCAATTATAACTGGCGTACAATTTCATATAATGTAAACAATATGTGACGTCTTCCAAATTAATCAATTTGGTAAAGTTGTATGTTCCATACTCAATCTGTTACTCAACTGGAGTTATTTGAATTTGGGAAAAAAGAGGTAGTTTGACTGAAATTGCATCCCGTGAACTATTTTGAAGAAGCACAACTCATTAATGTCAGAATGAATATCTGAATTTAACTTGCAAATTATGTGATGTTGACTGGGAAAACTATTCAAAATTGAACAAGATACAGAAGTTCAGTTCACACAGTTGCAGAATCTTCAGGCAGAGGATGTGAGCAAACTAACCCCATTATCCTTCGAACAGCCTGATTGAAGAGATGGGAGCTTTTCTGGGATGTGACTAGCAGAATTTTATGAGCATCTTTAAATATGGCTTTGAGTGAAGGACAAAATCTCTGTGAATACTTTATACGTATTTTGCAATCTGTCCGTTTAAAGAAAATGCAAACTCTGCGCTATTTTTGCAGAGCTTGTAAACTTGGAAACTCCAGAAAGTCTCTGAAAGGAACTTAAGAGCTTGACAGTCAAGCGAGCTTGTAAATCCTAAAGAGCAAAACTGCCCTTTTGAGGGGAAAACCCCAAATATTTTACTGGTCTGAAGCAATGAACATTTGTAGGTGTCTCCTTACAGTGTTTTCAAGGCCTGCAGGTGCAGCCCGTTTTTGCAGATTCCTAGTCCTGTCCTGAGAAGTTTTTCTTGGTGAGCGTTTGCCAGGCTTGCCTGCTTTGTGAACAAGACCTTGAGGCTATAGGCTCCTTTATGACCCTAACAGACCACATGCTGAGATTTTGTACCTAAAATCTAACTGGAATAGGTAGATTTTATTATAATCTGTTGACGGTCTTCTCTAATGCAAATTTCTAACGTATTAAAATTTTGCAGTTTTCAAAGTTAATACTAGGCTATTTTATCTACTGTTTAAAATCAAACAATAGCTACCTGGTAAGTCTCTTTGTCTGCAGTCCTATTAAACTTGTACTTTTAGGGACATGCAATGGCTCCTATGTTTACTAGTTGCCGTTATGGAGCTTTTCTTGCGATATAGCATGCCTGGAAGCCTGGGTTATGAATTGGAATCTCATGGCACTATGCATAGGCCTAGACATGTGTATAGTAAAAGACAGTTTCTGCTTCAAAGAGATGGTAATCTGGGGGGTTTAATTTTTCCCAGAAATAGCTTTCTATAGGCATCTCTGTTCAGTCAAATTTTTTTGAAAAGGCAAATAAAAAGAGCTGTTTCTGCTTAGTTCTGATTTTGTCAGAAATGGAAAGCACCAGCAGACTTGTTGGGTTTTGAGCCCTGTTACTGCAACTGTAACTTCCATCCATTTGTGGGATGCTAAATATTTAACTTGTCTGATGTTTTTCTGTATTTGAAGCATATGATTTTCTACCTCAAAATATAGTTTATTCATGCTTTCAATGAGCACTATTCATTGGAATTTTAGATACTCTCGAAGTTGATACTTCTCTCAGATTTTTTTTTCTCTATTTAATTATCTCTAATTTCCATCTGAAAAATGACTTCACAGCAACATGCATCCAATGGTACTGTACCAAATCATGATGCCAGAGTAGTTTCAACAAAAATAATCTAAACCAGGAGCATTTCTTTCTTGCTTTCATAGTACCTGTTGCCTCTGATATACATCAGTCAGCAGACTAGTATGATCAAGCTACCCGAAATGCTGTCCCATTGGGCACCCATTACTCCACCAGTTCCATTTTATTTAGGTTCCTTTATCTGGTTTTGTTACTTTTGGAAGCACTGAGCTGTTGATCTCTGGCTGCATATATTCATGTTTTAGAGTGGTACTTAACTTAAGCTGACAAGCCAGGTGGGCTATGGCATACGTGATAAATAAGTGTTTTGTTTGACATTCTTTATCAAGGACAATTTTCTGGCCAACTGGACTGTATGGAAAAATTCTTTACGTTTTTGATTTAACAGAAGAAATATGTTACTGAAATATTCATTATTTACATTCTTTAATTTTTAACTTTTAGGCTGACTTCTTAAAGAAATTACGCTTACGCAGTCTCACTGTCTGTTTAGTTTCTCCCTAATAACTCTCAAATGCATTGATCAGTGTAAACCAAATTTGATGAATTTAAATCTCAAAGATATGAAATTCCTAGATGGGACACATCTGCTGGAAACTATTTTTATTCTTCACAAAACAGCTTGATTACATTTAGGTTAAGTCCTTTTTTCCTTCTCAAATTAAAACCTGAAATTCAAAAGATACTTCACCATGCTCTTTGATCAAATGCAGGGGTTTTTTTTCTTTCTAAATTAATTGTTTTTGAGAATGTAGAAATATGGCAGTACTTCACTTTGGTGCACAGGCCTTGTCTGATGCAAAAATGTTTCTGTGGACAATTTCTGACTAAGCCTAGGAATAATTCAGAACAGAGCAGAGGACCTGAAATAGTTGTACCCTTTAGAATAGCCCTGGGCCATTTTGAGTTCACATTAATTAGCATAATTTACTGTGGAGATGTAAAGTCACTTTGTATAGCGTAAGGGGCTTTTATTTTTCTCTCCTTGGCGCGTAGCTTGCTTTGGGGAGGTGGGGGAGGTAGGAGGGAGAGGATGTAACCCTCCTCTTGGTACCCCTGTGTGATCTGTATCACAAGGTTGGCTTTTGCGTATTTAGAGGCTCTGATCTAATGCCAAGGTGCCGCTTGGGGACGTGACATTATGCTTCAGGACTTGTGTTCCTGAAGAAGGTGGTAGAATGTGTAACGGTTACTGGGAGAGGGCGGTGGACTTGCGGAAAGATGCCACGTTTTGCACTTGCCCAGCCTAATGTGGTGGAGGGGAGGGGAGAAGTGGGGGGGTGAGAGGAGGAACTGGCTGTGATGGCTCAGAAAAGAGATGAGAGAATTCATTTGCATACAAATGGTGTGCATCACTTTCAGATCCCACTCTCCCTTTGAAGCTCAAGTGGCAACTCTTAGTGTTTGGACACTTCCTAGGTTGAGGGATTGCATTTTACTTTGTAATCACAGAACCATAGGAAATGGGGCGGGCAGGAACTTTGGTCACCTGATCTATTCTCTTTTCCCAAAGAAGGCTTAACTACACCAAACCCATTCTTGACTGATGTTTGTCCAACTTTCTGATAAAAACTTTAGCAAATATATTTGGGAGCCTTAGAAGCACTAGTATCCAGTTCTTTTTTGAAGCAGTTGCATTCTATCATTTCTTCTATATTTAATCTTTGGTAGAGAACAGCTTATTTATTCCCTCCTTGCAACAACTTCCAGTTATTTGGATTACCGTGACCTGCAATGCTTTGCTTCCAGATTTAATAACAATTCTTTCTGTCTTTTGCCGTTAAGTCATGTTTTTCTAGATCTCTAATTTTTTTTGTGTTCCTCTCCTCTTCAGTTGTCTGTCTTCCTCAAAGGAGACCCAGCAACACAGTTGAAGCCTTTCCAGTAATAAGAAGAAAACAACCTGGTTTACAGACCAGTACTTTTCACATCCCCACGGGCTATCTGTTTGTTTCGAAACAGCATGACAGTGTTAATTCTTTAAGTGTATGAGCCAATATAAATTTCAGTCTTTTCTGAAGAACCACTGTCTACTCAGTTGT